AGGAGGGGATCAATTAATACACAGTCAACCACCCAAATTAACACCAAGATCTTTACGGTACGAAATATTTCTGTTTTAGCATCATTGGATACCATGTCTGTAAACAGTGTTTTCAGAAGAGCTCATTAGCAGCCAGGCTGGTAATTGAGATGAATTATAAAAATTCCATAAGATCAACCTAAATGCAATGCACCTGTATTGAGTGAGCACTTATATTCCAATGAGGAATTAAGACAACAGAGCACTGTGGCCACCACAATCACATGTCAGCTTCCTACTCTGTCTGCTGAATGGCCATCGTTCCCACTTTAATTTAAGCAGCTCATGCAGTGATGCTTGGAAAGAAACAGGAAACGACTGCCTTAGAAACAATCACATACCATCTCAAAGCCATGGCAGCACCCAATGGATACTTGAAAATAAATTTACAGAGGAAAAAAAATGGGCCATAGCAGGTTTGCATAAAAGCACTGAGGTATTTGTAATGCCTACTCTGTGCTAGGAATTTTTACCTTAAATATAAATTATTGGTTGCATATAGCATCAGTTTAGAGTGTCGGTCACAAAGTATGAGCTCAATAAATATCAGCCGCTATCATCCTACTCCTCACTCAAGATTCTACAACCTAAATGGAGCATGCACAGACACAGCGGCTACTGGTCAGATGGAACTTGGGTTTAAAGCCTGGTTCTGAATCCATCTGCTATATCACCAAGCACAGGCAGTTCATCCCTTTAGATTTCCTTCTCCATAAAACTGAAATTGTACTGACTACTTCTTGGTGTCTTTTGTGAAAATTAAGTGATATGATACATAATAGGAGCCTGGCACAATGCCTGATTTATCAAATAAAAATAACATTGCTTCTCCCTTCACCTCATACAACACAATGATTCAGAGCTAATAATAACAAACCATACAAAGTGGCTAGACAGACGAGCGAGGAACACCCCACCCATACTCTAGGTAATGCCACAGACTTGATTTTCCTTCTTTCCTCATATGAATCCTGGATTTGATGATGCCAATTAGAGAATGAACAGTTTATTGTTTCAATTAAAATTGAACCTGTTAAGTCATCCTAAATTGTACAGACACAGCTGGAGTTGATCACAGGGAAAGGAAGGGACTGTCCCATAGGGATAAAGAACAGGCATTGTATCATCATGGAAACCTAGGTACACATTCCAGTTTCACTCATAACTATTTGTGTGGTACTAGGTGAGTTAGTCTTCTAATCCTCAGTTTTCTCGTCTGTTAAATGGGGACAGTGATTATACATATTGTTTCCTATGGGTGTTAGAGAATGAAATGAGTATATTTAGCACAGTCACTAATACATATTAAGTATTCACTGGTAACAATATTCATAACATTAGCTGGGGAAAATTAGACTAAGTGCTCATATGTCAACCTCTAATTAAATGAGGTTAATTAGACTAGCATATAACTCTTAACAAACAGATCATTCTGCACATGGTCAGCTACCTTTAGTAGACAAATCTCTGCTAAAATAAGCACTAGATTTTTAATTTTCATTTAAGATATGAAATTGATGCTGGCTAACCTTGTATTAACTGGTGATGCTACTAGCTACTACACATTTTATTTGATAATTCACCTAATGATCTCAGTAACCCTGTGAGGAAGATATTATCCCATATGGATAAGAAAACTGAATCTCAGAGAATTCCAGACACTGGATGTCTGACCAGAAAGTAGCAGTGATATGATTTGAGCCTTAGTCTCTCTAAGTTCAAAATGTATCATCGCTTAAATAATTGACACAACTTCATTCGATGTTACTGAAAGACACATAGTATTGCAGAAAGTAGCAAAGACATAATTAATGTTCCTGAAAATTACAGGGCAAGGCTATGGATTTTGCTCTATGGCACTGCTTATTTTCCCCTGGCAGGGAATATACAGACATATAGATACATATACAGATATAGATGTAAATATAGGCATAAGAATTTTAAAACACATGATACTTCTAGGTTGACAATGTGCTCTAAAATGTTGAGCCTCACGGGAAGCTGACCAACCAGTAAATGCACGTTTTAACGTGGCAGATACCATGATAAATGCCTATTTCTTGAGGGATGGCAAATTAAACATTGTCCTAAAAGATGCATACAGTCTTGTCAGCATATAAAATACAACAGTCCGAAAGAGAAAATAATGCATAGCTATTCGTTACCTAGCAATTCTCTATATATCCATGTCCTCTAGTTCTGTTTAAAAAGGTTAAATGGCTCTAAATCTGCCTGCTAGACTCATAAGGAAGTATGCATTGCTCTGGCTAGTCAGGAAATATAATTTCCTACTCAGATTAACCAATTGTGCGTAGGGAGAGGAAAGCCTCTCTCTATAACCCAAGTGGCGTGGAGGTGGGGGCGGGGAACTGCAGAAATGCAGAACCGATGCTGAAAAATGCAGTTTGTGATTCTTACATTCTTATCCCACGGAGCCAATCCGCCTCCAATCAGAACTGTGTGGGGCCCACGTTCTGAACGAGTCATCAAATGCTGCTGTAAATGCTTGGAAACAGCCTTCATCCCTTCTTTGAGTAGGACCATAGATGCCAAGGAACTAGCACTTGCCTGACATCCATCAGAAGCACAGATATGTCTGTGTCATCGAATGGTACTTTATCTGTCCATCTCTTCCTGGTAACACAACCTCAAATCCCTTTTTAGCTTGCCTGAAAATGAAATATTTGTAAGCTGGACAGTTATTTCCGAACAGCCTCAAGCTTCCTCCACGCATACCTTTCCTCCCAGTGGCAATAATAAATATAGCAATAGCAATCATAAACACAGCAATAACAATAATATTAATAATAACGATCAACTACAGTGAGATTCAGCATTCGATTCCCTGGGAACTGGAATTAGTATCAGTAAATCTCCATTTCTGCATCAGTAGAACAAAGAGGTTAAAAAATGTGCAAAAACAATGTGAGGAACTATGAATCTGGATTTAAACCCAGCTCTGCCTATTTGAGGTTACTTTATCACTCTGGTATGAAAAGTTCCCCCAACCTCAACTCTAGATAATTCAGAACATGTTTCTGGACACCAAGTTCATTCCCTCCCGTACTATAAACTCCATGTTTGGGGTTTATGTGGGAATGTTCCCATATCGTAACTCTGATTATCCCCCAGGGTCCTGGGCTTGGCAAACTCCTGAGCCCTTATGCACTCCTAGTGGACAAAAGTAGGAACGTCATCAACCAAATTAAGTGCTAAACTGGCCCGGTGACTGGTCTGTTGGGTCACCTAATCTTGTTTCCCCCCCTCCACATTCTGTCTCATGCTTGGAAATGTAAAGAAAGTGGCAATGGCTCTTTTTTGAGTTCCTTTCAGAGGAAATTGAGTACATGAAGACAGGGCAGATTTATTCACTCAACAAATATTGTTGTCCCTATTTATATCAGCATTCCAGCATAAAGCCATCGCACGACTTCACTATATTATCAGGAAATGGATGCCCACCTAAATTTATTTTTCTGTATACTTCCTACCCTTGCATTCAACACTTGACCTTTGGATAGATATCATTCTCTTAGCCAAACAAGGGACTTTGTGTATGTCTACAGTTTGTTGCATTTCTTCAGAAGTGAGAATGGCCAACAGACCATTCCTCAAATCCCTGGTGGAGTTTTATCTTCTCAGAGGTTGGGCTCTTCTGAAAGATGCTTTCTTAGTATACTTACAGGGTACGCTTTTGTTAATTATGCTGAATTTAGAAATGGTTTGTGTCCAAGGAAAAAGACTGTTCTTGATCTGAACATAATGTGGGGTTTCTTTTGTGCAAACTCAAATTATTTGGGGCATTGATTATTCTGCAGGGTTTCACTCTAAGCCTCATAGTTCTAGCACCCTTGTGAGTAATGGGAATTTAATACATTTTTAAAATGTGAATAAATAAAACCTGCAGAAAATTCACTTGTCTAAAGTTTCCTTGAATAAAGTAATCGGAAAGCTGTCTGCCCTAGATATCTGTGGCTTGGAAATGGAAAACGTTTGGTATAGCTGACATCTAACTCATAGATTAGCTGGACAATTCTTTAAAATTGTACTTCTCTATCTAGTATTCTCTCTCTCTCTCTCTCTCTCTTTCTCGTGCAACAAATATTTCTAAGACAATATTTGAAATCCACACTCAAACACATCATTAGCTAACACTTCACCCTTGGAGACTACTATACAAGTTATAGATTTTCATTGTGCTTTTGGAAGAAAGCGATTCAGCTTGAACACTTGTACTGTCATTTGGGTGATGGGCAAAAGAGAAAAGATGTGTACAGTTCAACAGAAAAAAAAATAGAATTGAGCTTCATTTCTGAAAAAGACAGAAAAAACTTTAATAAAGGATTATTTCTCATGCTGGGGAAAAAAATCTGAGCAGGGAAAGTATTTTTGAAACAGCAGAGAATGATTTTTGTTTAAAGGACACCAAACCAAATATGCTGACCTATCAGAAATGCCCACAAAGTGATAAAAAGATAATTTCAAAGCCAAACACCAAACACAGAAATAAAATAGGAGCCTCTTAATGCGTTGATATGGTAGTCTCATGCCTCTAAATTCTAATATATAATTCACTGTAACTGTCAAAAGAGACTGAAGTCAAACTAGCAATGCTTTTCCAAGCCTCAAATAAAAAATAATAAAATAAAAAGCACAAACGAGCAAAAAATAAAAATAAGAAGATCCACCCAAATGTGTTGCAAAACATTTGCAACTTTGCATTTTCCTCGAGCTGGAATAGATTTATTTACCTTGATGTTCCTGGCTATGGGCTCTTTCTGTAGCACTTAGTAGGCACACATGTGCACTTGCACACGTGCGCACACACAAACACACACACACACAACATAGTATGTGTTAACCAAAATTCTTTGGTCCTGTGAGCCTAAGTCCCAAAGGCAGCCACACAGAAAACAGACATAACTGCATTTTGTATTGATTTGCTTGTCCTTTGCACTAGCCAGTATTCCTTTTTAAAGAGAAATACCTTATAGGACTGGAAGTGATGTCAGGGTCACGTGCGGTCACTTGCCCAATCACAGAGTTCAGAGCAGCATTCTCATGAACTTCAAGGAGGTAAGTCGGTGAGGAGAAGACAGGAGGCTCGTCCGCATCCTCAACAACAATTTTGACTGTTGCCGTATCTTTGAAAGGCCCCCTGCTGCTGAAACGTGGGTCAATGTGGACATTGGCTGCCTCTACCTTCAGTGTATAGGATTTTTTGGTCTCAAAGTCCAGAGGCTGTTAAGAAATGACAAAGACGGATGTTTCTCACTAATGATCACAGCAGCAAGAACAAATGAGTATAATGCTGATGGATGAAAGTTATGTGCATTTAAGCCCATTTTTGAGCCTTTAATGGGATCACTCTCCAGTCCCCCAGATTCAACCTGTAAATTTTACAGGCATTTATTGATATCTGTTTATTATACAAGCTCAGTGAATCTAATCTTCTATTGTTTTGTTTTGTTTTGCTCATTTCACTTGGAATTCGCAAAATATTCACAGTCATGAATTGTGCCATCAAAATTTCACTTCAGAGTCATAATAAAATTTTACTAGTGATGGCATGACCCGCATACTGATCAGCCAGTTAATCGGGCCTCTGCTGGTAGGAGATAAGACAGCATCGAACGCAATCTCGATCTGGAAAGAATATTTTATCGTTTCTGCAACAGAGTGTGAAATGTAAAGAACTAGAAATAATCATTGTTTAGTCCAAGGAGACATTATAAAGCATAATTTAGTACTAATCCCAACAAAGAGTGTTTTCTTATTTCACTTCCAAAGCATTGCTACTCTACTGATCATGTGGCTAAAATGAGGTTTATTATTTTTTAGGACATTCTTAGAAGATCTCTATTATGAGTACTATGCTATGAAGCAGGTGGGCGCATAAAGACATGTGTAGGCCGATACATAGGTATGTACTTGTGTTTATATGCGGAAGAAAGAAGAGAGTGAGCAGTATAAGTAGATAACTGAGTATGTTTGTGCTCCCACCAAACATTTAAAAGCAATTTGAAACTACCTCATTGCACTCTGACACTATTTCTCACATATTGATACTCCATTACCTAAATTAAGTCCAAGAGACTTTAGTCAATGACCTAGGTAAATAAAGCTAGGGAAAAAGAGCATAGTCCCGTTAAATAAACCAGAAGCCTGTCTGCATCAGAAGCCTTATAGTCCAGTTCTAGGAAACTCACAATCATTCAGATTTCAAGGCTGCAAGTCTGTCGAAGTTCAAGGAGATAGTTTATTTCTGCATTACAGTTCCTCGTAAGAAACAGAACTTTGAATCTGCAATGCATATTTTCAAATTATAAGAAGCTGGAACACGAGCTGGCATCAATGAACTCTTGTAGAACTCCTGCGCAAACTTAAATATATGTTCTTATTTAAAAATATTGTGTTAATTTTTATATTTGAATTTAGATCTAATGGGACTTGGGGTTTTGGGGGCAATATTTTCTAGTAAACAAGGCACACGCTCACTTCCCTGTCTATTCTGAAATTACTAGACACGTGTATCTCTGAATAGATGATTCAACATAAGCATATTCACAATTTTCCAATCATCTTTGCTGTAACAATTTTGCAATTTAAAATTCGTCACAAACATTATTAAGCATAACAGACTATGTCCTGTTTAATTCTTAGCTCAACATAAAGACAATGTATCCAAACACATTCTAGTGCCCTTCGAATTTTATCAGACAAAAAAGGGGGCCCATAAATTGCAGAAATACAACTCCCTACACATTGTTCTCTAGAGTAAAATATGTGTGTTTCTTGGCATCAAGGTGCATAGTATATGCTTTCAAGTTTATGAATAACAGTGAATGAAAATACAGCAAATGGCTAATTGTTTCAGTTTATAAAAGCATCTTATGGCAACAAAAGATAGGAGTTAATAATAACAATAAAAATGACATTACGAACCATTTGCCAGAGAAAATGTGGCTCTGGGTTATTTGATAATTGATTCATGTATAATTATACTGTACTCTATTTCAAACATGAGTTTTTAAATAGTTTGCAACTCTTAATTCTAAACTCAAACCAGGATCCTGGTATAAAAACAGTGTTGCTAAACAGGGAGTTAAAATAAATGTGGCCGTATTTTTATCAACATTGATTTTTAATGCTTTTTAAATAAAAGTATATCCAGAAAACTCCAGGTTTCCATTGTTAATATCTCTTCAATGGGAGATTTTAAGAGCAGGACCAATGAAAATAGGTCTCTGTGCAACATGACAGAGAATTAGATGATAACTTTACAGTCATATCAATGTAATGCTGATCAAGAAAGAGGGAAAAATTATTGTCTCCCAATTTTGTGGTCCACTGTCTATCTTTTTATTCAAGAACAAGCAAATCTATTTAAAAATGAGCTTGACCTAATTCATGACAATGTTCTGAAGAACAATATCAAACAAAGTAATCACGATGAGGATGAAAGAGTATTTTTCCTTGCAAATGCTTGGTGCTCATAAAATAATGAACTGTGTCCTACACATATCTTATGAATGTAGATATCATGATGAGAAATACAAATACAAAATGTTGTACAGAATCTTTCACATCTACCATCAAAAACTGGATGCTGACAAAAGCACTCTCAAATTGTCATGCGTTATTGGACTAGTTGTGAAGATGCAAAAGCAAGGCAGAGATTAGCTTAATTTTCCATAATGTTTAAATTGTTGACGCATAGTCTGGAGTAGCCAGTGGTGTCAGAGTTGGCCCTGTCCTTCATGCACCAGAGTTAGCTGGGATAACTGAATCTAAATGTTCTGCCTGTCTCTGAATTTCCCCGAGAGCACAGCCTTCAACTTGCGAAACTTCAATGTGTTTGGGAAAGATATTTAAGGAAGCAGAAGCTTACACAATGAAGATAGTTATATAGGGAAAGACTAAAAATCATTGAACATGTCACCTCTGTGGGCAACTGAAAATCCTCTTGTGAACCTTAACCAGTATGCCTCTTCCAATAATAGTAATTGATCACCAATTTTTCTCACCCTTTGTTGAGGGTCACCTTTAGGGCACTGACTTCCCCACATAACTGGTGTGTCCTATACAAGGATTGAGCAAATTCTGGTGGCTTAGAGAAAAGCATAGATGGGGATAGAAATAATGGGTGAGATGGGAGGCTGGCACCACCACGGTGACCATTTACCAGAACTTTAGTTGAAATGGGGAACGGGCCCAAGAGACAGGAGGTGCCACAGGGACTCTACTCATCACTTGGTCTTCCATTTAAAAGCTCAAAGTCTACGAGCTTTGAGATTCTATTGGGAAGTCCACTCAACTCTCTCAAATGTTAAAACTCAAGTTTCGCAAAGGTATTTTGAAGACGAATGAAATCTTCCTTAGCTTACCTTCCTTAGTCTTATAATGCCATCCTGGGCCTGGGCATCAGAAGTGATTTCAAAAAGTGCTGTCCCATCTCCATCAATGATGTCATATGATGACTGTGCATTTTCACCAATGTCCTGATCGTTGGCCTTCACCCTTCCTATTGCAGTGCCAAGAACCACATCTTCTGGTACTGAGAAGTGATACAGACCTTACGAAAGAGGAGAAACAATGAGCATTACACACGTTCCAACAATTCATTAATTCGTTTAGCAAGTCTCTATCGGGCACCTCCTTTGTTCTGGGTGTTCCATAGATGCTAGCAAGACAGTGATGGAAAAGGCAGAAATAGCCTTTTCCCTTGTGCAATGTAAAATCTTTTAGCTGAGTCAGAGATAAATAGTTCTCAGGAGGAGGAATGATGCCTTTTCAAGACTCGTCTGAGATATGGAACTTATTACGCCACATGTTTACCAAGTATATATTTGGAGCAGTTATATCAGGATATTAGTGAGTCTACATCTAAGTTCTTTCCAGTTTGTTGCATGATCACATTGACTGCCCGCGGGGATATTCATTATTGTCCAACATAACATACTAAGCTAATTTCAGCACAGAAAGATGCAATGTGCAACACACTGAAAATCACTTTTGAACTTACCTTTATATTTACAGACTTTTAGACTATTTTTGATAAAATCCAATTACTAACCTTCTGCTGTGCCCTGCAGCAAGCTGTTCAGACACATGAAACACTCCTCTTGTTACTAAAGTCCTCATTGCTCTGAAGACCAAAATCTTACCTTAAAACTCCCTAGGCAAAATACAATTACAGTGTATATTCATTCTCCTACAGGAGCAGTAAAAATGTAATTAATTAGTGGCATTAGTCCCATTTTTATTCGAATCACTTTAGTTGTTACAGTGGTGTCACTCACTGTCACTAGTGAAAGGGGAGCAGTTGGTGCCCTAGCCATAACCTCTGGCCATTACCACTGTAGTGCACACCTGCCCTGCATCTACCTGCCAACTCCCGCGTTTATTTGCCTGAGGGTTTTTCTGGCCTTCAGAACCCATTTTGCCCACTGCATGTCAGGTCAGAACTGCCAGGGAGTTAATGCCCCTGCAGAAGCAGCCCTCAAAGACTCACAGGAGTTAGTGTGTAAAATCCTAGACTCCTCCTTTCTCTGGTAGGATAACTTTTCTTATTTCTTTTCTTTTCTTTTTTTACAATGGTCCAGACTCTCCCCAATTTATTAAGGCTCCAGTCGCCCACAGTGGTAGCTGGCTTGATAATACACATTTTTTGACTCTCCTTCTAACTCTCTCATTTCCCCACTGGTGTTTTATGGGATCATCTTTAAGTTAAACTATTTACAAAGTCTTGTCTCATTGTCTGATTCTGGGAGATTCCAACTCAGACAAACAGGAAGTTTTAGTCCCCTTGCAACCATAACAAGGGAAAAATAAACATTCAATGAACTATAAACCCAAAAGGAAAAATCAAATCTGGGGAACATTACCTAGTTCTAGTTTGAATTCAATCACTGAGTCCCTTGGATAAACTAAGGCTTATTTTATCCAATATAACAGGATCAGTTTATATGATGAGTAAGATTTCTTCTAGCACTAACCCCCCTTTACTTAATAATGGAATGAAATGTCTCTTAGAATCATAAAGTTTTGGGGCTGGAGAACAAAAACTTTTTCCAGATATATTTGCTATAAAGTAGGCGCTGAAAATCATCATATCGAGCACAAGTCTCCCAATTCACTCATAATTGGTGTAACGATTCCATTTCCTTCCAACTTTATATTCCAGGTAAGGTTTGAGATTATCCCTTTAGGTATGCTTGCTAAGTAAATAAGCCAGCAAGGAGCCTCACCTCGCTGCCAGTCCTCCATCGGGGAGCCTTGGGAAACCAAGCAAATGGGACATTCCTTTATCCATTCCTATTCTCCTTCTAATCATCTCTACCGGTGTGATCGTACCTAATAGTTATTACCTCTAAGAAAGGGACTGCTTTTGAAACTCATCTGCCTCTGTTGCATTTAAACAATAATTTTCTGAGAAAAACGTAGCCCATTACAGCATTAACTGTAATGGCAACTGAAAAGGAAATAAAAGAGTAGGGGAAAGGATAAGAGAAATGGTATTTTCCATTTCAACAATTTTGTTTAAAAGAGTTGCATTGATGTCTGATTTATGAAAGGCTAGGGGTAAAAATTCTGAAATTTTTAATGAAAATGCATCTCTTCTATTTTTTCTACCTTGGAATTTCTGCAGATAAATTCTTAAAGACACCTCAAATGTGTTATTTTCAAGCTCCACCTCTCTCTCTCTCTCACCCTCTCTCTCTATCTCACCTCCACGTTATTCCCTCTCTCCTTTATCCCTACAAAAGCCAGTTTTCTTATGGTATTTTTTATCCCAGCAAACAGCACCAATATGCATCAAATCTCTCATGTCAGGAATAGGATAACCTACCTTCCTCATCTGAAAATGAAATCTATCCATAGACACTTGTCATTATTAATTCAAATATTTATCATACCTATACACCTTTCTCACATCCAATGCAATCACTCTGGCTTGCCAAAGTCACCATCACCTTCTACGTGAATGATTGCAAATACTGCTTTAACTGGCTGCAAAGCAGAGAAGACATTGGAAGAAGCCCAGATTTATTTATTTTTTTCTGATTTCCCTAGTATCATGCAACCTACAATTTACAATCTTTTAATGGCTTCCTAGTGATCTTGGGATAAAGATCGTGGTACCTAAAATGTCCTACAATTCCAAATATGGCTAATTCCTGCCAGTCTAACTCTCTAGCCTCTTGTTGTAACACTATCCCCTTGGCCCTTTGTGTTCCAGCTGCAGTGAAATTCTTTTCATTACCATACATGGCCATCCACCATTCTTCCATAGGGCTTTTTAAAAAATAATTGCATATACTTAAGGTGTACAATAGGATGTTTCAATAAATAAAATAGTCTTGGAAAGATGTCTGCACCCCATGTTCATCACGGCATTATTCACACTAGCCAAGAAATGAAAACAACTTGTGTCCATTGACAAATGAATGTCTGTAGAAGTCATGGTGTGTGTACACACACACACACACACACACACACACACATTGGAATATTATTCAGCCTTTAAAAAGGAGATCCTGTCATTTGCAAAACATGGATGAACCTAGAGTGCATTATGTTAAATGAAATAAGCCAGACTTAGAAAGAAAAATACTGTCTGATCTCACTTATATGTAGAGCAAAAAAAAAAAAAAACTGAACACAGGGCTTTCATACATCCTTTTTATCTGCACTATCCATTTTCGCTCCCTTGGTTTCACCTTGTTCCAGCTAATCCTATTCACCCTTCATATTTCAATTCAAAAGTTTCCATGTCAGAAAGGCTGTACTTAACAAATAATCTGTCTGTCGTCTTGCTTGGATATGTGCTCAGAAAAGAAGTGTTCTATGAGCATACAAGAAAGTTGGCAAATAACAATTGTCTCCCTGATTCACTGACAGTGGCTGCCCAAAAGTTTCTAAGGCAGAGCATGTGGCCTTAGCCAGGAAGAGTAGAGTCAACGATTACTGATGTCTCCTCAGTTGCAGGAAGGAGTAGTGTATGTGTTGTAGCAAGTGGACTGCATATTTGCCTTCCCCACCTCAGACACTAGAGAGTTTGTGTCTTTTACACAACAAATGAGACTAATGAGAACAATATCTCAACTGCATTTTTATCATCCTCTCAAGTCTCCTTAATGGGGATACCATGCAAAGGAGAAATGAACACACATCTTGTAGTCAGATACGTTGGTGCTAATTGTCTGTTACTATATACTTGATATTTGGAAACTTTTTCAACTTTGAAATCTGTAGAGTGGGAATAAATTTAGTACCAAGATTATGACAACATGGTTGGTTGTTACACACACACACACACACACACACACACACACACACACAAACACATACACACATATGAATTGCCATACCTTGCACTTAAGCAGTTACTATCAGTTTTTTAGAATGTCACTGAAAATTATAATATAAATTCAAGTGGAAATATCATATTTAAATTCTCAGGCAGTGTAGGAAATTCACTTACTCTGTGCGAATTTTGGAGGATTGTCATTAACATCAGTAAGGGTCACTGTGAGTGTCGTGGTCCCAGACAGGCCACCAGAGTGTCCACCCATATCTTTGGCTTGGATGACGACCAGGTACTCCTCCTTGGCTTCTCTGTCCATGTTGGGCAGGGCAGTTTTTATAATAGCTGGAGGAGGAAAATGGAAGAATGACTTTCAGGCAGAGAGCTCATTCAGCAATGAATGTATGAATCACACACATATGTACATGTATGCAAACACACACATGTGCATACATCAAGTCCCCACTCAGGTAATTTTCTGTGTTCTTTTGACATTTAATTGGTGTATGTCTTTGATATCAACACTGAGAAAGATGGTAGTCGTAAATGTTTACAGATAACTTGCAAAAATGTCTGTTATAATGCATAAAAAAGAACTTCCAAAAATATACATTAGAAACTACACTGCCATATCCTTCCCTACCAAATTAAAGTATAAATCATAACACAGGCTCATCTACTCAGGAAAACCCTGGATGTGAAAGAATTCTACAATTTATCACACACCCCAATTCCCCTACAAGAGGAGTAAATACACAAATAGCTTGAAGGCTCTGAGGTCAAAGATAAATTATTCTGAAGCTCACAAATACATTAGAGAGATGAAAGAAATAAATGCATTATTAGAATCGACTCGGATGAATAAAACACCAATCAGAATTAACATAGTCAAGCATCTAAATCCTAAGGCACTGTTTAACTACATTTATATTTAAATTGTTTAGTTACATCTTCTCTATTGTAAAAGTAACAAGTATTTTAGAAAAATAGGAAGATATGGAAAAAAGTGGGTAAAAGAAAATCACATGAATATGATAAAATCATTACTGCTAAAATCTTGGTGTTTTTTCTTCTGATATATGTTCAGGGTTTCAAGTGGGTCTGTTTGTTTCTGTTTCATTAGAAACTTAATATTTTGTTAAAGATTCAAAGTTTGCTTAGATACTTCTAAAGTTATTTTGAAAATTATTTAGATCTCTCCCTATTTCCATACATTTTTATAGATAAATATTGCTGAAATTTTGGTGTGCATAAATCCAAAGCCATTGTAGGTATATGCACACAAATGTACATATAAACATTTAACCACAAGCATGATCATACTATAGGTATTATTGAGACTTTCTTTTCCTCACAATAGATGTTTTTGAGAACGTTTCTTGTCAATACATAGAGGTTCACCTCATTGCTTGCTATAGCTGCATAATTTTTAACTGTATGAATGTAGCTTAAGCATTTCCATATTGGTGGATATTGCAGCTATTTCAATTTTTCCCATTTTAAACAACTAACAGATATATTAGTATGATGATAATATATTTTCTTTTTTTTAATTCAGCATATTATGGGGGTACAAATCTTTAGGTTACATATATTGCCTTTGCCCCACCTGAGTTAGAGCTTCAAGCATGTCCACCCCCCAGACAGTGCACACCGCACCCATTAACTGTGAATATTCCCCGTCCCCTCCGTCCCCCTCCCACCTGCCCGATACTCAATGAATGTTACTACTATATGTGCTCATGAATGTTATTTCCTGCATTTTTATTTAACTCTATGTCATAAGATGCCCCCCATGTTGCTAAATGTCCATAACAAAAATTACTGCGACTAGCCCAGAGATTCCTATTGAATGGATGAAAGGAAACTGTCCAGATTAAAGATAATTTACCCCCTTCACTTCTAACCCCCGGGGCACAATAAATGTTCAATTCAAATGGAAGATGAACCATTCTCTTGGCCATCTCTGAAGTTGTAATCCCGTTTTTGTTGGACTCATATCTTTTAATTAAATCATCTGTCTGTGAAAAGTTTGTGAGGAGTTCAGGTCTCTGAATCATCTGAGTAGCAAGTGAGGCATAAAAGTAGCCAGGGAAATCTAATCCACCCAGGCAGTGAGCAGGCTCTGGGAAGAGCTGTGAGTTCCTACATACTTTATTAAACTCTGACATCAGTTTTATATCAGGGCTTCCCATTCAATTGGATAACTGTGCTTATATGGAAACGTTTGTAGTTATATGATAATATCTTTCAATGCAATGCTTTGTTTCAGGATTTGATCACATCATAATATAACTCATAGATCATAACTGTATGGTTTGAAACAAAAATAGAAAGAAAAAAAAATAGATAGCAACCTTTCAGATTTGGGTTCCTGTGAGGCATTGGCGAGGGGGGAATAAATAAATAAATAAGCAAAAAACAGAAACAGCCGTAACAAAACCTCATCATATTAGCATGCTGAGATGCCAAGATAACTACTTTGCTATGCATATATTTTCATAACCCGGAATATTTTCATTATGGCTCCAATTTTCAGCAGGAAAGATTAGAAAATTGTTTTACTCTCGTAACGTTTACACGTGTGCTTATACCACCACATTCTAAGGTCTTCACCAACTACAGCCATCCACTGGACTTAGGAATTTGACATGGAGCTTCTAATAATCAGAGGAAAATAATATATTAATAATTCCCCATGGAAGGCATCAACTTTTTTTCAAGAAAGTTGATGAGGTGAGGTCGATACATGAGACCTTTCAGTTTATTTGAGTGGAATAATTCCTGCAAACTTCTTCCAAGCCAAAGAAAATCAGTATGTTATTATTCTCATCATTTTTTTTATATATAGTGAGAGTGAAGCTTAAAACAAAACAAAACACAACTGTGATGTCTCTCAGACACTTGAAATTAAAATAGTCTTTTGACTCGGTTGAAAATAGCACACCTGGGTTAGTGTCTATGAGTAAGGAAGCATGACAGTGGAGGGCCATGCTTATCAAATAGGACAATAAATGTTTCATGGGTCTCCACAAATTACAGATGTCTTTATTCTCTTCAAGGATTAGGTATACAGCTTCATACAATCTAAGATGCATATAGAGTTAATCCTCAAATAGCATGGGGCTTAGGGGAACTGACCTCCTGTGCAGACAAAAATTCATGTATAACTTTTGACTTCCCCAAAATTTAACTGCTAATAGCCTATGGTTGACCACAAGCCTTGCCGATAAAATAACAGTCAATTAACACATAAATAGAATGGTACATATACACATATATAATGCATTCATGACATTCCTTTTTCTTAATTCTTTCAATATTCTAGGCTACATGGTTCATTTGCAAATTTTTTTCCAGATTGTTGCAACTCTCCAAAAACTTTTCCAATATATTTATTGGGAAAAAAGCCTTCATAGAAATGGAGGTTAAAACTCATGTTGTTCAATGGTCACTGGATATTCCTAAGTTTGATTTTCCTAATAAATCCTCCCTCATAATGAAACCCAAGCAAGTTTGTTTGTCATAAACTTACCAGCTTTGTGACTATGATCAGATCATTAAACACATCAGGACTCCATAACCCACCTTGTCAAATGAAGTTAATAACCAGCTTCTCATTGCAGATATTTGAAGATTATGTGAGATAAGTCATAAAGTTCTTGGCACACAGTAGCTACCCAATGATGCCATTTCCCTTCCCCCTTCACCTTCCCCAGCCAGACTTTATTTCATACCTATCTGGATGGTGGTTGGAGTGCAGAGCATTCTCCAATTGCCCTCCCAGATCCACAGTCCACCCCTCTCTACTTATTCTGAGCATGGAAGCATGACCTTAATAGATCACTTTATTGACCTCCCTCACTTTCTGGATTTTTGTTATGATCCACCAACCTACGTTACCCTAGGAGTTTGTGAGAATGGAGCAGGGTAAGGTTCCAGACAAATAATCCTGTGTTTGGCCACTCTGGAGTTGTCATTTAGGGATGTTGTCATAGCAGAACTCTCTCTAGTGTCCAACACTTGCCCCATCCACTCACTCCTTCAGGCAGAGGGGTGACAATGGCACTTCTGTTGCTAGCCTCAGGTGCTTCATCAACCCTTGATTGGTCTCTCCTAACCTGGCCATACCTTTGCCAATAGTTCCTTCATTAAATTCTCCACAATCACCCCATTCCTGGCAAGACCCTAAAAGATATGGTTACGATACTAGTACTTTTGTCCAAGTGCCAAACATGTTGCCAGTATGTCATTCTTAAACAGACATCTACAGTTCAGAATTACTTCAACGTAATAATATATTGTGGTCCAGAGGCCAGAAGCTTGAGGAAGCAGGGAAGATTGTTTCCTTGTCTGTAAAATGAGAATAATACCGATTCAGTTAAGTGAGTTGCTCAAGATGACCCAGCTGGGCAGCTGCACATCTGGGAGTCTTCACACTCCCTCTTTTCTTCTACAACTTTGGGAGTAGGTTTTCTGATTTCTAAGGCAAGCAGGGTGTCTCTCCAGGGCATTTTTAGAGCATGCAGGACATTTAATTGGCTTCAGTTAAAACTGTATAATGAACAGTTCTTGCTTTGCTGGAGCCCACTGCTTATATTCTCAACCCCATACCTAGCAGCAACTCATTACAAAATCCAAGGCAGAATTTCTGGAACTCTTTTTCTGATACCTTGTGGCTATGAAGGCAGGACAGGTGAAATCACAGGTGCCCTTGATCCTCCTATTTTTCTCTTTACATTGGGGCTTATCTTTACATGTTGCTTAACTTTTTTTATTCCTATTCAAAAGGCAGATCATTTCACCTCCGCAGATACGTCGAGATATTGACAAACTCCTAAAGTAGAAAATTAAAATAATCTTAAAATTCCCTTCTACTTCTTTTCCCTTATTTTTGCTCACGAGCTTAGTAGCTTTAAGGTATTTCTTTTATGGACAAGGGAGAGACCTTCTCTATTTTTAAAATCATTTTTTGGTATGAAATTCCACCAGATTCAGAGCAGAAAATGTAGTAATTAGGGCAGGTTGTTTTCCTGCTCAGATTCCAGAAGACAAAAATTTGGACCTACGAATATCAAAAAGTGACTTAAATCCTCAATTAAATGGCATTTCTTACCCATTGTCAACTTTGGTTTTAAAAAGGCAAGATAGGAGATTCCCAATCCCTTCTTTTTGCCAAAACAAACTAATTTGAAACACCTTTTGATGGTGCCAATTTTAGTAACTTCCTATTGCCCAAGACATGAATTGTGTCCCTCTTTTTTCACAGTAGTGGTCAAGCAACAATAGTGACCCTGTCCCTTGCATGCTTACAGTCACACATTCTCAATGCCCAGCAACAACTT